AGCCAGCATCTGTCCATGTCCACACATCTTAAACTTAACCATCTCAATGCTTCTGACTAGTGTAAAATAGTTATAAACAGGGCTCAATAATAAAATATTGCTGTGTATTCCTGATCTCTGTGTTTATGTGGCTGAGTAACTTTTTGACTTGGGATCAATTTTCCCACAGAACAGTGTCCGAGAGACTTAGTGTGGGGAGACGAATACGCTTTCCCAACAAGGCATTCTCAAGTTTCCTCAAAAGAATGACAGCTCCCTCCATGCCCGCTTCTCAAGTTCTCTCCACATCGCCTCTTGTAGCACTTTGAAAACTAACAGTATGATTGTCTTAAATAAAAACAGTAGTAAACTACTTTGAATCATTTGCCAGGAAACAGATTTTATTGCAGCTGCATATATTGTCATGTACAAGATAGTGGCCTTTTTGCTGCCTTCAAAACAGACACTTTTTCACACTTTTGTGCTAGGAAACAAGACAATTGCAAGCCCCGAGAGGCATCATCAGAGTTTTTAAAAAATCCTCCCAAATTCTCCCCCACAACTCATTCATTCCCAGCCATTTGTCGCAATGTCCTAAGCTTTCCCTCCCAAATGCCACTCTGACCCTTGTCCATCAAAAGGTTGCCTGCCTCTGAGCTAAAGGTTATTGTGATTGTGATACTACTGAGAAGTCCTTTGTATTAATAATCTCAAGCCCAAACTAAATGATACAAAAATACATTTTTAGTGATACTGACTGCCCCTCCCAGAAATCTGATGTAATTTAATATAAAACGCTCATTGGAAATGACATTATTTTGAGGGCTGCTGTCCTTAGAAGATCTGTAAAGAGAACTTTGTTGCCATGATATACTGGGATTTGCTTTCTAAAATCTATGAAATCAGAAAGAAAGAATTAGAAGGAAAAAATTATCTCTTCTGTCTTGCACCATATCCTGTTGCTGGCTGCTGCAAATTTTTTGCATATGTGTGTTCCTGGAATGTTATAGCAAATTAAGTTATCTTTAGAATATTGGTAATGAACTACCTCTAGTGATTATTTAATATGGTCCTCAAATTGCAATCATATCTAACCTGGATAGTCAGTAAGCAGGACTCTCATTCTGGTTCACCAAATTCTGATCCTCTAAGATTTGAATTCTGCTCCTAAAGACGATCTAGCCCAACCTTTGTAGACAGGAGAATGGCAGAACTAGAAGAAAATTCTAGGAAAGAAAGGAAAATGCTTGTAAATCATGGTTTATTGGTTAGCTTGTTAATATGTACTCATCTAATTATAACTTATTCCACAAAATATGGTTAAGCCAACCATGGCATAACAAATGGATGTTTGCAATTTCCTTTTTCATATTATGGTTCATATTATATAATACGGTTTCATATTCACTAATTTAAGACGTTCCAAAGTTTTCTTCCCTTCATTCCACAGTATTGGCTAATACAAAGTCAGATTGTAAAATTTTCTTTCCTAAAGTGAGTGTTCTTTGGTTAGAAGTAAAAATATGAAATGTTAATCTTTTCAGTGTTATCATGTTATGAAATATATTAATTGCATTCCTGAGATTTTAATATTACTAATTTATAGTATTGTTTTTATATTGGCAGTACTCCAACAAACTTAGTATTTAGTATTTCATCACTTACCTTACTACATCAGCAAATTTACTACCTAAAATAACAAGTCCTGGCAAGATCCTCTGAATATAACATGTTTATGGAAGTTCTTAGAGGTGCATTATCATTTCTTTGAATCACTACTCTTTTTTTTAATATACTTTAAAACTCATTGTACAAGAATTTGGATAAGCAAAAGTCTCATATAGATATTACTCACATATTTCCAGATGGTGTTTACTATCATTCCCATCATCCTCAGTTTGGAATGATGGAAATTATTAAAAATACCTCAAGGGCAATATGTCACTGACATTTCTTCTGTGTAAGGTCCTCTTAAAAGAACAAACTTCCTTCACTAAGACAGCTCCTAACCACACCTCAGATTGACTAAGACATATGTTCATAAATGTTTCCCCAACTCCCAGGCAAGGAATGCTTTGATATAGTATAATAGAAGATGGTAAAAATTCTCTCAGGTATAAATATTACGTTGTTAGAGCCCCTCCCTGATCTAAAAAGCTGATAAGAGGTTTCTGTATCTCAGTTTTTAGCTCCCAGAAGATAAGAAATAAAGTTTTTATTATTTTATTATTTTTATTGATGAGAAAAAAAAGTGAAATATTAATACAAAGCTAGTTCAAGTCAACATATTGACATTAAATACAGATCATATAGATATCTCATTTTTAGAATACAAAGACATTTCAAAAATTGATAAACACATCTCTTGAACCTACTCTTATACTCAAGAGCAAATGTATTTCCCCCTTCATAAAATAATTTTTTGTGAGCCCTAGACTCAAAGAAAGCCAGAATTCTTCATAAAATGACAAATTCCATATTTGAAAGTAATAAAGCTTTTCTATGCACATATCCCTACTACAGGTAGGTCTATAAAACATGCTCTGCCCCAACCTTGAAAAATAAATTTATAACATTTCTACTTTATTTTTGTGACTCATGATCTAAGACATTGGTCATACTTATGGACATGAACCTGTCTCACTATCCAGTAGATTTCAGAGCCCAAAGAGAGCCCTACCAATATTATTCACGGATGTATTTCTTTTTCCCTCTTTTCTCTAAGAGAAAGAAACCTGGAACTGATCAATAACTATCCAGAATTTCTGGGACAAGCGATGGCTACCACCTTCTTCAAGGTAGGCAGCATCATCTTTTTTCTCATAGATGCATTTACCAGGGTCCAAACCCAGCTCCTAGTCATGTCACTGGAGGCTTTCACCAAATAGGAAGGGCAACAATCCAGACTACAGATGGAGAGCTGATGATGTACAGAACCTTGTCTGCTTCCTCAGAATTCAGAGTTTAAGATCACCCCAGATTACCTCACAAGATGATGTTTCAGTCACCTCATCAAAACATGCCCTTATTGTCCCACTCTGAGTGGATCC